TACTTGTTCACACTGAATTCCTACGCAGATGCGAATGTACACTTCAACCTAGAAGTGAACGTACAGTACGCAATATACAGATTCTGTTTCAGGTTGCCCCTGGTTCAGCCACGCCCCCCACCATCTATCCAAGTGAACGGGACCTCCCTCTCCAATGTTAACGGTTTCCACCACCGTGGACATGAAGCTGTAGGGAGATGAAATTATCTGCATGAATATATATATCGATCAGTGGTCCTCCCCCCAACTGCTGTATGGCAGCGAGACATGAGGCACCTCAGGGCACTTGAAAACTTTCACCAATGTAGACTACATTCCATCCTCCGAGTTTGCTGGGAAGACAAGAGAACAAATGCCAGTATTCTCACTGACACCAACTGTAGGAGCATCGAGGCTACCATTATCCATGAACAACTACGTTGGACTGGCCATGTTACCTGCATGGATGACAGACTGCCAATGCAGCTACTTTACGGTCATCTAAACTTAAAGAAAAGTAAATGTAATGCCAATGGGTAAAGGTATAAGGATAGTCTTTAGACAAACCTGAAAAAAAGTTCAAAATCATCTCCTTCATCTCTGAGACCATCATTCCACGCCGTAACGTTTGGAGGAACACCAAACGAGGTGTAAGTACTTCAAGTTGGCTTGACTGCATACTGAGGAAGAAAAGCTCCAAACATAGGTTGGATGAATATATGAGCGATCGGGGTTGGGTGTAAATTGGACTACCCAGTATGGGCCAATAGGCCCGCTGCAGTTTCCTCCTTGTGTTCTCATGTTATGTAAATGTCAGTGCGGGAAATTTGTATCATAAAAAAGGGGAAATATCTACTTTCCGGGAAAGTTGGTTATCTACTTTCCCGAAAAGTAGATAGATTTTCTACTTTTCGGGAAAGTAGATTATCGACTTTTCGGGGAAGTAGATTTTCGAATTTGGGGGGAAATATTACCTAATTTTGCGAAGTAGATTATCATAGAAAACGGGAAATTTGTATCATAAAAAATGGGAAATATCTACTTTCCGGGAAAGTTGGTTATCTACTTTCCCGAAAAGTAGATAGATTTTCTACTTTTCGGGAAAGTAGATTATCGACTTTTCGGGAAGTAGATTTTCGAATTTGGGGGAAATATTACCTAATTTTGCGAAGTAGATTATCATAGAAAACGGGAAATTTGTATCATAAAAAATGGGAAATATCTACTTTCCGGGAAAGTTGGTTATCTACTTTCCCGAAAAGTAGATAGATTTTCTACTTTTCAGGAAAGTAGATTATCGACTTTTCGGGGAAGTAGATTTTCGAATTTTGGGGGAAATATTACCTAATTTTGCGAAGTAGATTATCATAGAAAACGGGAAATTTCTATCATAAAAAACGGGAAATATCTACTTTCCGGGAAAGTTGGTTATCTACTTTCCCGAAAAGTAGACAGAATTTCTACTTTTCGGGAAAGTAGATTATCGACTTTTCGGGGAAGTGGATTTTCGAATTTTGGGGGAAATATTACCTAATTTTGCCAAGTAGATTATCATAGAAAACGGGAAATTTGTATCATAAAAAATGGGAAATATCTACTTTCCGGGAAAGTTGGTTATCTACTTTCCCGAAAAGTAGATAGATTTTCTACTTTTCGGGAAAGTAGATTATCGACTTTTCGGGGAAGTAGATTTTCGAATTTTGGGGGAAATATTACCTAATTTTGCGAAGTAGATTATCATAGAAAACGGGAAATTTGTATCATAAAAAATGGGAAATATCTACTTTCCGGGAAAGTTGGTTATCTACTTTCCCGAAAAGTAGATAGATTTTCTACTTTTCGGGAAAGTAGATTATCGACTTTTCGGGGAAGTAGATTTTCGAATTTTGGGGGAAATATTACCTAATTTTGCGAAGTAGATTATCATAGAAAACGGGAAATTTGTATCATAAAAAATGGGAAATATCTACTTTCCGGGAAAGTTGGTTATCTACTTTCCCGAAAAGTAGACAGATTTTCTACTTTTCGGGAAAGTAGATTATCGACTTTTCGGGGAATAGATTTTCGAATTTTGGGGGAAATATTACCTAATTTTGCGAAGTAGATTATCATAGAAAACGGGAAATTTGTATCATAAAAAATGGGAAATATCTACTTCCGGGAAAGTTAGATTATCGACTTTCCCGAAAAGTAGACAGATTTTCATTTATAAAAGTAGATTATCGACTTTTTGTAGCAGATTTCTTTGAATTTTGGGGAAATATTTACCAATTCACAAGTAGATTATCAGAAAACGGGAAATTTGTATCATAAAAAATGGGAAATATCTACTTTCCGGGAAAGTTGGTTATCTACTTTCCCGAAAAGTAGATAGATTTTCAACTTTTCGGGAAAGTAGATTATCGATTTTTCGGGGAATAGATTTTCGAATTTTGGGGGAAATATTACCTAATTTTGCGAAGTAGATTATCATAGAAAACGGGAAATTTGTATCATAAAAAAGGGGAAATATCTACTTTCCGGGAAAGTTGGTTATCTACTTTCCCGAAAAGTAGATAGATTTTCTACTTTTCGAGAAAGTAGATTATCGACTTTTCGGGGAAGTAGATTTTCGAATTTTGGGGAAATATTACCTAATTTTGCCAAGTAGATTATCATAGAAAACGGGAAATTTGTATCATAAAAAATGGGAAATATCTACTTTCCGGGAAAGTTGGTTATATACTTTCCCGAAAGTAGATAGATTTTCTACTTTTCGGGAAAGTAGATTATCGACTTTTCGGGAAGTAGATTTTCGAATTTTGGGGGAAATATTACCTAATTTTGCGAAGTAGATTATCATACAAAACGTGAAATTTGTATCATAAAAAATGGGAAATATCTACTTTCCGGGAAAGTTATTTACTTCCCGAAAAGTAGATAGATTTTCTACTTTTCGTGAAAGTAGATTATCGACTTTTCGGGAAGTAGAATTGGGGGAAATATTACCTAATTTTGCGAAGTAGATTATCATAGAAAACGGGAAATTTGTATCATAAAAATTGGGAAATATCTACTTTCCGGGAAAGTTGGTTATCTACTTTCCCGAAAAGTAGATAGATTTTCTACTTTTCGTGAAAGTAGATTATCGACTTTTCGGGGAAGAAGATTTTCGAATTTTGGGGGAAATATTACCTAATTTTGCGAAGTAGTTTATCATAGAAAACGGAAAATTTGTATCATAAAAAATGGGAAATATCTACTTTCCGGGAAAGTTGGTTATCTACTTTCCCGAAAAGTAGATAGATTTTCTACTTTTCGGGAAAGTAGATTATCGAATTTTTGGGGAAGAAGATTTTCGAATTTTGTGGGAAATATTACCTAATTTTGCGAAGTAGATTATCATAGAAAACGGGAAATTTGTATCATAAAAAATGGGAAATATCTACCTTTCCTTGAAAGTTGTTGAGTTCACTTTCCTGAAAAAGTAGATAGATTTTCACTTTTCAGGAAAGTAGATTATCGACCTCAGAAGTAGATTTCGAATTTTAAAGGAAATATTACCTAATTTTATGAAGTAGATTATCATAGAAAACGGAAATTTTAAATTATAAAACTGGGGAAATATCTACTTTCCGGGAAAGTTGGTTATCTACTTTCCCGAAAAGTAGATAGATTTTCTACTTTTCGGGAAAGTAGATTATCGACTTTTCGGGGAAGTAGATTTTCGAATTTTGGGGGCAATATTACCTAATTTTGCGAAGTAGATTATCATAGAAAACGGAAATTTGTATCATGAAAAATGGGAAATATCTACTTTCCGGGAAAGTTGGTTATCTACTTTCCCGAAGAGTAGATAGATTTTCTACTTTTCGGGAAAGTAGATTATCGACTTTTCGTGGAAGTAGATTTTCGAATTTTGGGGGAAACATTACCTAATTTAGCGAAGTAGATTATCATAGAAAACGGGAAATTTGTATCATAAAAAATGGGAAATATCTACTTTCCGGGAAAGTTGGTTATCTACTTTCCCGAAAAGTAGATAGATTTTCTACTTTTTGGGAAAGTAGATTATCGACTTTTCGTGGAAGTAGATTTTTTAATTTTGGGGGAAATATTACCAAATTTTGCGAAGTAGATAATCATAGAAAACGGGAAATTTGTATCATAAAAAATGGGAAATATCTACTTTCCGGGAAAGTTGGTTATCTACTTTCCCGAAAAGTAGATAGATTTTCTACTTTTTGGAAAAGTAGATTATCGACTTTTCGGGGAAGTAGATTTTCGAATTTTGGGGGAAATATTACCTAATTTAGCGAAGTAGATAATCATAGAAAACAGGAAATTTGTATCATAAAAAATGGGAAATATCTACTTTCCGGGAAAGTTGGTTATCTACTTTCCCGAAAAGTAGGTAGATTTTCTACTTTTCGGGAAAGTAGATTATCGACTTTTCGGGGAAGTAGATTTTCGAATTTTGGAGGAAATATTACCTAATTTTGCGAAGTAGATAATCATAGAAAACAGGACATTTGTATCATAAAAAA